TATAATTGATCTATTAGGCAGAAAATATGGAGAGCACATGGAACTTCTGTCAGTTTTGTGCTATTTATTTGAATTTCCGTTTTTCTCTATCCGAAGACCTCGCCCTTTATTGTCCTTTTTCATCCCTGAACTGAGTAATACTCTGAAGGAATCACATTAGTATGCATGTTGGAACTTTGTAGCATTAAAAGCCAAAGTCAATAACTAACCTCAGAACTACATACCAAATTGTGAATTCTTCATAGACAAGTCCCACATTTTTATGAACTCTGTGTCCTTAGTACCTAGCCCTGTGTCTGACACATGAAAATCTTTTAGTAAATGTGTGTTGATCAAATGAGCCATTGGCTTCAAATATTTATAAGAACCAGCATTGTCGTGGGTGCAATTCATAACATAGAATTTGCTTTTAGTTTCTACCTAGAAGGCAAAATTTATTATTTGTTCATTTCATTCTGGAGACTGAACAAGGACAGAGAATAACCACTGTCTTGTTGCTAGTGCTACAGTTTATTCAGCCAAAGAAGCCTTTCTGCATGAGGCTGCAATAGCAACAGCTGCCCTCCACCCAGCATTTATGAAAAGGTATTCACTGGGGACCTCCTAGGTGCTAGGTGCTGGGCTATACAAGTCAGTCCAGATCACCTAATTGTCACCATCTGTCAAGGCAATTGTATTCAAAACAGTATTTCTCCTTATTTTTTTCTCAAACACGTCCACACTCAACTCAAGACTGTTTATGAAACAATCTGTGGACAAAACAATAAATGGAAGTTTGTTTATTCATTTCTTTACTCAGCCAGACAGGCAGCCCTCCAACCCAGCACTTCTCAGATCATATTCTTTTGAGACTTTGTTAAAACGCACACTTAAATCTACCAGGTTTGGGGTGAAGCTTGAGAGTCTGCATTTCTAACAAGCTCTCTTAGTTAGATCAGGCCTTGATACTTTGAGTGTCAGCCATGAACCAGTAGATTCAGCATCGCCTGGGAGACTGTTAGACCAGTTGAATCAGAACCTACATTTTAACAAGATCCCCGAGTTCACATTGGATAAGCACTGCTCTAACCATTTGATTAGCCCACAGCGTAAATTATGGGCAGGGGTCCCAAGGGGGCTCTGGGCTGGGAAAGTAAGTCCAGGTACATTTACTGTTCCCTTTTTAATTTCAAAACTCTCAGGTACCTGCGCCAATAGGGCTCTGACACTCAGGAAAAGACACAGGTGGGTGCCTCTTTGTTCAGTCATTCAGCGGCATGATACATCTGTTACTATCCGTCCTGGATTGCCATTGTCTTTAAACATGAGGGGCCTACCTGATCAACCTATTTCTTCTTAATAGAGCTTTATTTTAGACTCACAGGTTTCACCCAAGAGATATCCTTATGTCTGACCATGTTGGAATGATTTACAAATTTGGATCAAGCACTAGGAGATCTGAGTTTTTGTTTCCTTGTCTGTGAAATGGAGATAATACCACCTGTTCTAGTTTCCTTTCTAGTCTTGTTGTGCGGAGCTTTGAAATATACATGTGCCAGAGCTTTGAAAACATAAAAATATTCATGAAACTTTAAAATTGCTTTAGTCAGAAAAAAATCATTATATATTTCAATGCCGAAGGGATAAGGGTTTAACATTTAGCCTTATCGTCTACCAATTTTGTGATTTGTGGTAAATTATTTTAGGTAGTTGAACCTCAATTTTTAAAATATATAAAATGGTCATAAAAACTTCCATCATATAAAGTGTGGTAAGGATTAGAAATGTTAAAGGATCTAGTGCATGGTAGGATTTCATAAATGGTGGTCAATATGCTTGGATGAGAGCATAAGGGGCTTGGATGAGAAAGAATTCTCCAAAGATGCCTTCTCTCTCAGTTAAGCCTGTTCAGTTGGAGGTGGGGGGTGCGGAGAGTGACTTTAAAGCTATTTGAAGTTTTGAATTTGAATCAGTGTCCTTCCAGTTCAAGAGACTGATATCAGGCCCAAGCGGGAGGATTGCTTGAGGCTGGGAGTTCAAGACCAGCCTAGGCAAGAAAGTGAGACACTGTCTCTACAAAATACAAGATAAAAGCCAGGCATTGTGGCTTGTGCCTACGGTCTCACCTACTCAGGAGGCTGAGACAGGAAGATGGCTTGAACCTGGGAGGCCAAGGCTACAGTGAGCTGTGATCTCACCACTGCACTCCAGCATAGACTCAGCTTTGACCTCCCAGGTTCAAGCGATCTTCCTGTCTCAAAAAAAAAACAACCACATATCTTCAAATTTGTTACACAAGTATCTCTGGAAGCAAAATTCTCAAATTTTCAACAGTGTTTTGATATTTATTTAAACATTTGCAAATGCCAGTCTCTGCAAGGCTTTGTGATGAGGAGGATTTGCTGTGATTATTCAGTGTTATTCACATGCTTCCATCAGAGGTGTCAGAGGGGCTTGTTGATGGCATTCACAAGAGCCTGGCACAGGTATACAGGAAGGTTTCCACAATAGTGTCCATGCAAGCAGACACTGCTGGCTGAAGGAAAACAGAAGAATTAGTGGCACCAAGGGAATGTGTGGTCAAGAAAGAAAGCTGCTCTGAGGACTGTGGGCATTGATGGTACCCTCATTTGCAGAATAACAGAAGAGCAAGTCTTATTTGTTCAAGACATGAGGGGGCAACTGCTGGGTAGTTACTGTTTTACTGTCAGCAATTGACCATTTGAGACTATCATCTATTTTTAAAAAAACAAGTCCTCACCATCCTTTCTCTGTCTTTCCAACCTCTCTTTCATAGTTTTATTTTGGAAATTCCCTTCTAAAACCCTCAGGTGTCTTAAGCCTGTTTTCAGGCAAGCTAAGCCTTTAGGAAGGTATTCTTTAGGAAAATAGATCACTCCATTTTTTCCCTAGACTTTGCAGAATTTATGTGTTGATATCCTTATAGGTAATATTCCAAGGTACCCAGGAGTGTGATTTCACAGACAGTCTCAGGCAGAGAGTTTCATGTGATCTGCTTTTCCACATGGATCTCTTTGGTGGGGGGTGGGGGGTGTGGTCAGTCGTCAATGTCCTGTGAATAGGAAAAAAATACCACCTTGCGGATATGGCATTTCAGTGAAAGCGTATTAGGAAGAGGGTGGGGTTAAGAGGGAGGAAGTGAGCAGGCAGAGAGCCAGAGGCCTTGGGATTGGGGATGGGGGGGCATTCAGCTGCCCGATTAGCAATTCTGAGCCATGAGCAGAGTTCATAAGGGAGAATCAGGATGTCCTAGGTTTATTTTTTTGCCTCAATAACTTAAGGTTGGAAGTATCACGCCCTGTTTGAGTGTGGAATGGCAGAACCCCTTAGGCAGGGAAAAAGCAGTTAGTGGCATTGTGCTCCAAGTCCATTTTAACAGATTCCACAATGGGCTCTTCTGAATCTGGTCACAGCCGTTGGCTCATTTTGTTAGGGCTTGACCTGTGGGTGGATCAGTTATCTTCTCTCTCTTTTAAGGCCACAGAACATAGTCTTCACCTCCAACCAGTCTATACAGCAGTCTTTGGGGAATATGTGGATAGAAGCTCTGTGTAAAATGAGCTTCATGAACCAGTAGGAAAGACAAGTCAAAGGCTATTACTTTTTGGAATATATGGCCATGTAGAGAAAGCATTTGCTGGGAGTCAACAAACTGGATTTCAATCTAAGTGCGCCCCCCAGCTAGCTATGGGATCTTGTTAGGCAAGTAATTTTATCTGTTGCAGACCCAGGACGAATGATACCCACTATAAATCTATTAGACCTATTTTAAATCTATAAACCTCACCAGATTTTTGTGAGGGTTTCTACAAGTTAGTAGAGAAGAGAGCGTTGAAGTCTTCAGAGCTGTGCCGTTCAGTATGGTAGCCGTGAGTGACTATTTAAGCTTAAATTCATTAAAATTAAATAAAATGTAAAATTCTGTTCCTCAGTCACACTAGCCACATTTCAAGCGCTCAGTAGCCACATGTGGCTAGTGAGTACCATATTGGACACCAGAGATATAGTGCATTTGCATTATCACAGAAACAGAAATTTTATTGGACAGTTCTATCTCAAAGTGCTGTCTAAGGTATACGATGAAGGGTATAAAGGATGGCACATTGAAAGGGTGACAGATACTGTCGTAGTTAGGAATGTTTGGCAAGAAACAGAAACATCTCAAATTAGCTGAAATAAAATAAGGGCTTTGACTAATTCAGGAAAAGTGAATGGATCCCAAAAGACATGAAGCATGGCTAGGCTTCAAAAGGAATTGGAACCAGTTTCTAGAAGATTGTAAGGATTAGTTCTTCTCACTGTCTTTCTTTGTCCCTTATGTTTCTCTCCTTGTGGCCACTTGGGCTCTTGTCTCTGTTTCTGTGTATTGGCAGCCACTTTTGCCACCTCCTCCTTTGTCTCCGCCTCCTCCGTGGCTCTGCAGACCAGCTTTCTCAACTGCACTACACACAGTCCAAACAAGATTCAGCCAGACCCAGTTTTCATCACCTCTCACAAGTAATGCCCAACCAAGTCTGAGTCCTGATACCAAATTCCCAGGAGAGGCATTCTTATTAGCCAGCTTGGTGTTATAGCCACCCCTTCTTCCATCATCTGTATCTAGGAGGATGGGAGAAGTGTCCCCATGCCTACTTAATAGGGGCTGTTGGGGGGCGGGGCCCTAAAAAGTGGCACATATAGGGTAGGAACAGGCCATTGATTAACATGTTCATCCTTAACACTTTCGAAAGATCCACAAAGCCTATGATCACACAGAGAAGGGCCAGTAGAGATTTGACAATGGCCATGAACAAAACAACTGTGAGGCCTTTTCTTCCTTAATTATTTGCATGGTTTGCATCAACAGTACAGAGTCACGGCAGTGGCTTAACCCTTATGTCCACATACCTGGATGGAGAGTGGGCACAGCCAAGAACACAAGGTGGAAATCAGGTTGAAGACTGTCATTCTTTAAAGTCAAACTGGGCACTCATGTGTTCCCTTTTGTCTTCTACCTTTAGGAAAGAACATGAGGTTTCCTTGGAAATCATTCAAGAGGAAGATGGAAGGGGCTGTTTAAAAGAGCTTAAAAGCTACAGGCTGTAAGACTGGGGCCTGAGTGCTGGCAGTGGAAAACCCTGTTGGGCTGCGATCCCTCCCTGAAAAGTTCCAGGTGCCTTTTTGCTTCTTGCAAAAGAAAGGAAGTGAAAGAGAAGACCATGTCCATAGCCCTGAAGCAGGTATTCAACAAGGACAAGACCTTCCGGCCCAAGAGGAAATTTGAACCTGGCACACAGAGGTTTGAGCTGCATAAACGGGCTCAGGCATCCCTCAACTCGGGTGTGGACCTGAAGGCAGCTGTGCAGCTGCCCAGTGGGGAGGACCAGAATGACTGGGTGGCGGTACACGTGGTGGACTTCTTCAATCGGATCAACCTCATCTATGGCACCATCTGTGAGTTCTGCACCGAGCGGACCTGCCCTGTGATGTCAGGAGGCCCCAAATATGAGTATCGGTGGCAGGATGACCTCAAATATAAGAAGCCAACAGCGCTGCCAGCTCCCCAGTACATGAACCTGCTTATGGATTGGATTGAGGTTCAGATCAACAACGAGGAGATATTTCCAACATGCGTGGGTAAGTTCATGACCAGTTCTCAGTTTTTTTGTCACTCACGCAACCCGCACTAGGAAAATTTGCAGACCGCCTTTGAATGCTGGGTAGCACCCATGCATTAATTCCATCACTCATGTACCTGTAGTTTCTTTCTTCATATATAAGAACCTCACTGAAAGGAAAAAAGATAATTTATGGACCACTTACATTTATTTTGTGGACTCCCAGTAGTACATATACCACATGCCGGGGAACACTGGCTTTGTGAAATGTTAGATGTGATTGTGTCAGCTTCTTAGAACTAGATGTCAGGCTCACTCAGTTATCTTGATAAGATTATTATTTATTGGTTAATTGACTAAAGTTACATGGACTCTGATGCAGTTTCTGGTATTTATATCTCAGGATTAAGAAATCCCAGTGTTAGAATTCATAGATTTGTTTGGGGATCAAACAAACTGGAGGTTCAAATTCTAGGGAAAAAGAGATCCTAAAGCCTCCCTCTTTAATCATAGTTTGTTCATTTCAGGCTGTGCTGTTAACTTTAACCCTTGCGTAGCTGCTGGATACACTGGGACACCTGACATGCAAATTATTTTATTTGCTTTGTGCAAAACTCTTCAAAAGGAAGGACTAGTCAGTCTTTTCTGCCTCATATATTTCTTTATGAAGCTGGTCATTAGATTTCCCATGCACTTTCAGACTGAATTTAGAATTCAGTGTTTTATGCCGTATGCTCAATAGGGACCCACAGTCTCCTATTTCCACTGTTGTAGCTCCAGTGCCTAGCATAATGCCCTGGAACCTTGTAGACACTCAGGAAATATTTATGGAATGATTGAATAAATACTCGTGCTATTGGAGAGTATTATTTTAAAGCCCTGAGATGGTTGTAGTACAAAAAACGTATTTGAAACACACTATTGAAATCATCTCTAGATTGGGGTAGGATGTGTCCCCACATAGCATTTGGAAAGTTGAGAAAGGGGTATATGGAAGCAATTAAGTTTATACCAGAAAAAAAGTATATAAATTGATTGGTGCAGTATGTATATCTTGAAATATTCAGCACGCAAACCAATTTGTCAGGATCCTGGTGTTGCTTTGGCTTGTCCAGTTCCCTCATGCTTCTCTCTCCCCTGCCCGTTCTTAACAGGAGGAGGTAGGTTGTGTGGTAGCGCCAGTCCCCCAGTCCATAGCATAGGAGGAATAAGGCAAGTTTCAAAAACTCGCCCGGGCATAATATTAAGCACCTCGGAATGGTGGAAATTTCTTAGGTTCATGTCTTCTGTACTTTTCATTGACTGTCATGGGTTACTTTTGGAGCTGGAAGGATTTTTTTGTTTCCCAGAAGCCTTACGAACAACTGCCAGTGCTCTGTGCTGAACATGTAACAGCAATAAAGATAAATAAAGTTAGGCAAGGATACCTCTTCTTTGTCCCTCCCCTTGTGTCTGCACCTGTGTGCTTTGAACTCTGCGCACTCCTGTTCACTCTGCAATTGTGGCTGCCACTAGAGTTGCTGACCAGAAGTCACAGTACAAAGCCATGGCGAGTTGTTACTTGAGAGGAAGGAAGCTTCTGGCTGTTTGGCTGGAAAACAGCATTATAGGAAAACAGGCTTTGCTTGGAAGAAATTCATAGATACCTCTATATCCCCCAGAGTAACTGACTTTGCTTTATTTTTCTAGACATTTTCTTAGTCATTTAGTATGCTTAGGGAACATGCTCACCTGGTCAGAATCCTCTGTTTCAGCTCTACCCAATTTATCCTCCATGGCATACTTATATTCTGAGAGATCTTAATGATTTCAACCCCCAGGGAAAAATAAGTTTGGGAAATGCTGAGTGACATTGATTTCTTTACCACAGGACTTTTAATATGCCAATGAACATTATGAATTTCCAAGAAAAGATAGTATGTTGTGGTTCCTAATTTGACACTGGTACCTTTTTTTTTTTTAAATTAATGAGAGACCATTAGCATCTTTTGGAAAATATTAAGCTGTATATATTAGAGTTGTCAAACTTGTTTATATCAGAATTATTTGGGCCTTCTGATCAAAATGCAAATTCTTTGATCCTCTCTTCATCATTAACAACTAAATCAGAATCTGTTAGGTGACACCTAAAAGACTGCACTTTTTAGAAACGAAAACTGTAATCACTACATTGTATAATTTATCTCTTGAATTTATGCTTTCTATCTAACTGAAGCTTTGTGTTTTCTGACCAACATCTCCCCAATGCCCTCTCTATACCACCAGCCTCTGGTAATCACCATTCTAACTCTCTGCTTACATGAGATCAACTTTTTTAGATTACACATATGAGAGAAACTATGTAGTATTTGTCTTTCTGTGCCAGGCTTATTTCACTTAACATATGTCTTCCAGGTTCATTCATGTCACAAATGACAGGATTTCCTTATTTTTTAAAACTGAATAGTATTACATTGTGTATATATATCACACTGTCTTTATTCATTCATATACCTGTTAGCTATTTGTATGTCTTCTTTTGAGAAATATCTCATATCCTTTGCCCACTTTTAAGTTGAGTTACTTGTTTTCTTACAATTGAGTTATTTGAGTTTTTATGAACCTATACTTTTTATAAGTATCCTCTATTTATTGTAACTGCTCAGAACTTTTCGTTCTCCCAGAAATGGTCTGTTTCTTACCACTCTGGTTTTATTCATGTTGTTCTCTCCTTCTGTAATCACTCAGTTCTCTGTCTAGTGAATTCTCATGTATCCTTTGAGGTTCAGCTCAGATACCATGTCCTCTGTGAAGGCTTTCATCAATTCAAATGCTAGCTTTTAAAATTTTGCATTATATCTATTTCATCTGACTATCTCCACCAAGTCTAATCCTGGTACCTTTTAAGTTGTTGGATGGATGGATGGATGGATGGATGGATGGAAGGAAAAATAATCTTTATGAAGGCCCAACACATGCATTGTTCTGGTGATCAGAGAAAAGTTAAAGAAATGTTTCTGAATCCTTTTGTCTTCTTTCCTCAATATTGCCTGCACCTTCCTTCCACAGGGTTCCATTTTCTCTGTTTAACTTTTCCAAGGTGAAATGTTAGGGCCAGTAAAAACCATCACCATCTACCTTCACTGTGAGGGTCTTCAACCTCCTGCTCACCTCTGTGATTTGTCCTCAGAAGCTGTTGTTGTGGTCTTCTGGAATAACTTATTATTAGGAGCCACTTTCGCTGTTACACCATTTCCTCCTCTATTTCCTCCCCGATTCCAGCCTATTTTTCTTCTTTTTGATCTTTATGCTGTCATGAGTCATTATCATGGAAATACTCAAGATGTCTGTCAGAGGAAAGCAAAAGAAGAATTCTAAGCAAACAGGACCCTGGGTGGATGAGAAATGGAGAGTTCTGCTTAGAATTACAGCTTTGAATCCTGGGTGAATTTTTGTGTTTCTGCCTGGGAATTGGGAGGGGTTCAAACTCCACCTCTTCCCCACTGTGATCCAAGGAAATAGAACCGGAAAATACTGACAGATGTGAAGGCTTCATCCTTAGTTAGATATTAAAGGATATAAACAGCTGTTGATCTCTACCATTGAAACACTGAGGAAAGAAAGCTTTCATCTGTTCCTAGATTCAAGCTTAACTATGCGACCCGTGCTGTTTCAGAAGTCGAACTTTCTCAGATGGCAGAATACCAAACAGATGTGGATACCTTGTAAACCACAGTTTCCCCACTCTCTCTTGAAACCCTCTGGCTTCTTTTGTTAAAAACGCAACAGATGTCCCTGTGAAAGCCCTTAAAACAGCAGGAACTTCTGAAGCAAGGGCCACCTCCTTTTCAATTATATTTCTTTACCCATTTTTAGAGATCACAAGACAGTAAAATAAAAAAAGCCATGACTTAAAAAAAATTCTATTGCCTGACTAATTACAGTAATTTTGATGGTCCAGCCCCCAGCTTCCTTGTTTTTCTGTTATATGATAGGATTTAAAATTTTAGACCTGATAGAAAAAAGCTAGTAGCAAACTTAGAGGTCCTCCAACTCATGTGTTTTTAAAAAGTCTTTGAAAAGAAGGAATAAGAACATGTATGAAACAATTAAATGATCTCACTTACCTCTGGGGTTTTAGAATAAGTGGGTGTCAGGGCAGGAGAGAACAAGGAAAGCGAGGGAGGGAAGTGGGGGAGGGAATTCGCATCTATTGAGCCTGCTAAATACCAGGCTCTGTGCCTGCTACTGTTAATGTTTCTTAATTCTTACAAACCAATAAAGTAATAATGAAGTGAATATCCCATTTTGCCAGTGAAGATGCTGACATTTAAACAAGCTGAAGGGCTTTCCCTAGGTTGTACAGCTAATACATATTTAGGAGTCAGGGTTTGAGCTCATGAGTATCTGGCCAGAAATCCATGCCTTTCCCTATGCTACCATTCATAGCATGCATTATTATTTCACAGATTTCCTTTCACCTGGTAAAGGCTTTTCAATGAATGGTTTTAGGAGGTGGTTTAGGATGGAGAAAATTTCATAAAACCTGGTTTGTTTATTTATTTTTTAGCTAGAACTTTTAGATAAACGATTCTTGTTTTGATTATTACTTTTTCTTTTTCTTTTTTCTTTTTTTTTGAGATGAAGTCTCGCCCTCTTGCCAGGCTGGAGTGCAGTGGCACAATCTCAGCTCAATGCAACCTCTGCGTCCCGGTTTCAGCCTCAGCCTCCAGAGTACCTGAGACTACAGGCACATGCCTCCACACCCAGCTAATTTTTGTATTTTTAGTAGAGATGGAGTTTTACCACCTTGGCCAGGATGGTCTTGATCTCTTGACCTCATGATCCACCTGCCTCAGCCTCCCAAAGTGCTGGGATTGCAGGCATTAGCTACCGTGCCTGGCCAATTATTACTATTTTTCAATCATCTCTGAAATGCCTGAGGAGAGTGTCCAGGTACTGTAAATATTCCTGTGTTCCATTCTAAGACCAGGCAGCAGGCGACTTAGCCTCATGAAAACCCTCTACTGGCCCATAACTCCCTGGTAATGCCATTTATCATTAATTTATTCTTTCAGTGAGTGTTTGCTGAGCACCTATTTTAGGTACCAAGAGAGAGAGCAAAGCAGGCAGAGCCCCTGTTCTTGAGCAGTTTACATACTGTCCAGAATGTCTAGTTGCTCTAAACTGACTCTACATGTTTCTAAAATGAGTAGTCTGTTCAGTGGTCAAGTGCCTGTGGAACTAGTTGCATCCCTTGGCAACTTTTCCCATGAGACTACAGCTGAATCTCATCCTCCCTCACATGTTGTGGTAAGGCACGTGAGAATATAAAAACATATCAAACATAGGGATAGTCTTCTCAGACATGGGATGTTGGGGAGTTGAGCTTATGATTAGCCTTTATATTTTAAGTTTTTCTCTTTTTTTCTTTTTTCTTTTCTTTTTTTTTTTTTGAGATGGAGTCTCGCTCTGTCACCCATGCTGCAGTACAATGGCACAATCTTGGCTTATTGCAACCTTTACCTCCCGGGTTCAAGTGATTCTCCTGCCTCAGCCTCCTGAGTGGCTGGGGTTACAGGCACCTGCCACCACTCCCGGCTGATTTTTATATTTTTTTAGTAGAGACAGGGTTTTGCCATATTGGCCAGGCTGATCTTGAACTCCTGACCTCAGATGATCTGCCTGCCTTGGTCTCCCAAAGTACTGAGATTACAGATGTGAGCTACTACTCCTAGCCAAGATTTTATTTTCTGTTGTATATCTCTCACATGTCTTTTATTTTTTATAGACGTCTTTAAATGCTGGCAAGACAGAACGGGCAAAACAAAATATATTTACAGTATGATAGAACTAGTACTAGACTTGTAGATAGACTTGGGTTTAATCAGTTAGTTCTGTCACTTACAATTGGCTGTGTGATTTTATCTCGTTTCTATTTGTTTGTAAACTAAGGGTTATAATTCTAACCCCACAGGACTGTTTTAAGGATTAAATGAGGCAGTATGAATAAAAACACCCAACCCAGAGCCAGAGACATAAGAGTTGCTGAAAAATGAATGCTGGTTTTCTCTCTCTATCAGTATACATTTCTTTTTAAGTACCAACCAAAACTCATGGAGACTGTTAGTTTTTGAACTATATCCTCAGGAAAATAAAGTATGCTTTAAAATTCTCAACAAGATTTTAAAAAATCATGAATCTTCATTGCTGAATCACTCTGTGATAAGGATTATAAATATTTCAGGTAGACATCTCTCAAAGCCTTTGGAAAATTCCACTATTTTCTTAGGCCCCTGACTTCACAGATGAGCATCTAACTCTGGAGAGACATCTACTAGGAAGTGTCATCTCACTTGATTTCCGGAAGACTGAATACTAAACCTGCTCATGTCCAGTGTCAAACCAGCTAACCTCAGCAGAGGGTAGGAACGAGTTAGCAAAAGAATTGGGGAGATAGCCTATTAGTCACATCTGGGATGAACTATTCATTAAAATAATGTTGGG